AGGGTATGTAGCATTTATGTGCCTCATTGGTTGACTCCATCACAAGGTGCATAACTCACTTAGTTTTTGTAGTATTTTTAATTTAATTGGAATTTGTAATGCATCCCCACATTGATTGATTACCACAATAATGTGAATAATGATAGAGAGAGTATAGCTAGTAAAGGATGCATTTATATAAGATGTATATATTTATTATTACTTATTATTACAGTGTACATATACCTGGTATACCATTCTCTCATGATCATGCTGCAGCTGCTGCTGTTGGTAAGATGATGCCTAATCCTCCTGGCATACCTATTGTTAATGGAAGACCTCCTCTGGTGAGCCATTAATAAATAATAAATAATAATATTCATATAGTATCCAGTTACATGTATATGTAAACTTTTCAGTCTCATTTGTTAATAAGAGGCTGAGTGTGTGTTTAGTGTTAGCAGTAATTTACAAGTCATTTGAATGTAATACATGTGTTAAAATTTGTAGCCATTTTCAGTAACAAAAGATAGGGCAAAATTTTAAGTGTATTTGGATTTGGTTTAAACTTTCTAAATGTATTGTGATTGTTGTATTTTGTGCATCATCGTTTGGTTTGTCAACATCATGCGAGCACATCAAAATGCTATTTTCTGCCAGTCCATGGGGTTATTATATGTTGGGTAATGGATCAACTGCTTACACTGCTTACTGTAATATGGGAACATTGTGTGGTTCAGGAGGAGGATGGACAAGACTAGCATAATAGCATATCTGGATATGACTGATGCTACACAGAACTGTCCTTGTGGGTTTACACTGTACCAGTCAGGAGGAGTTAGAGCTTGTGGTAGAAATAACAGTGGTGTTGACTGTGTATCAGTTCAGTTCCCATCTAATGGTATCAGTTATTTTCAGATATGTGGTAGAGTAACAGGATATCAATATGGTCATCCTGATGCTGTTTTTGCATATATTAATAACATCAATAGTCCATACATTGATGGTGTTAGTATCACTCGTGGGTCTCCTCGTCAATATGTCTGGACACTAATGGCTGGTTTTAATGAAGCAAGTCCATCATCACTTTCATGTCCATGTAATACTGATAGTTCAGTATCAGCAGTGCAGCCTTTTATTGGTAATAACTACTTCTGTGAATCAGGGGCCACTAGTGGTTTTCCATCTAATATTCTCTACACATCTGATCCACTCTGGGATGGTCAAGGTTGTCATTATCGTGAATCACCTTGTTGTAATGCTCGTGGTATCCCATTGTTTCACAGAGACTATGGTAGCAATACCACTACTGACTATATTGAGCTGAGGGTGTGTGCTAATGCTCCTGATGAAGACAGTCCTGTTAGTTATTATGAGATTTATGTTAAGTAGTGAAGTGTGTATGTGTGTGTGTGTCTGACTATAACAATGTCCTGTTTCCTTTGAAATTTTTTTAGTTTTTGTTTTCAATATTGTTTTTTGCTGAAACTATTTGTCATAACTGTGTTAATGGAGTAATGTGTGAAACAGATAGTTGAACTATAGCAATCTTTCTTCTTATGTAGCCAATTAGTAAATTAGTCTCAGGGGGTAGCCCCTCCTCTCCAAGACTAGTAGCTAATACATACAATTAATCACAAATTAGTATTTACAATTCATACAACTGAAAAACATGTGTACATTATAACTTATATGCAACAGCATGATTCCAGAACACATAATGAACCACTATCATTGAAATTATTTATTGTAATATGGTTAAGAATTATTGAAATGACACATATTGCATGAGCACACAGAGGTGATGTTTACATTCAAATGTCTCTATACTGTCAGATCTATAAATTCACATACAGAAATGTGTTCAGTGTCAATTCTCTTGTCTACTATACCTTCCACCAAAATTTAAAACTAAGTTTTAAGGCTACAAAATAAACCTGTTTTATATAATTCAGAATGATGAATCGCTAAACCATTTGAGGCTATTATTTTAACAATAATACCGTTATGACTCAATTGTAGTTTTATAGTATAGTACGTGGGTGCATCAAAGGCACCACCCATGCTGTATATCTCATACAGCACAGTTTGTGGTTTCTTGTTGTATAAACTGTGACCACCCCCAACTAGAGCAACACGAGGTAGAAAACTTCGCGAGCAGATAGTCCAGTCTCTTTTGCCACTTTTGGTTCTCTTTAGGCTCTTCTTCACTTGGCCTAGGGCTGGTGCCTTTGATGCACCCACGCACTATGACCATAAACTAGTAAAAGCACAGTTCCCCTGTGCTGTCCTGGAACCATGCTTTAACTAATACTGATTGATATTATCACCTATGTTTATATCAACAATTTTGATTACAATTTAGTTATGTTTATCAAGTAACTCGACTAAATTAACCATAACACATTTTGATGATAGTATAAAATCAACACAATTGTCCATGTCATCTTCACTACAACCATAAAATGTTTCTGTTTCAATAGTATTTTTTATAAACTGAACATATACTCATAAACTCTAGTATGTTAGCTACATGATGACAGAGACAATGGAAAAGGAGCTTCACCTAAGAAATTTTCATGAGAGTGAACCTTACACAGCAATCCAAGGAGATCAATTGAATGAGAATATATATGAGCTACCAACTATCAACAAGAAGTTCCAACAATCCTCTGTGTCCAATGCAGCTCCTGATGTAGCAATGGGGCCTAAACAAAGGCAGTCATCTTGGAGTAAACCACTACTGTTGATAACAGTATTACTCTGTCTCATATTGATATTATTAATAATTATACTGGGCATTGTTACTGTAGTGTATGCTACTGGTAATAATGTTGAGTGTACTAATACTGCAACTGGTGCTGGCAGTAGTAGTAATATGAATGAATGGGCTGATCGTATAGCTCAAAATGTCTATGATAAACTTAACATTACTGACTGTAACCAGAAAATGCCTAACTTCACTGAATGGGCTAATGGTGTTGTCTCTAAAGTTAACAGCAATGTAACAGGGAGCCTTGCTGACTTCAATGAATGGGCTAATGGTATATCACAAAATACCCTTCAACTATTTCATGACAATACCAACTTCACTGAACTTGATAAACAAATCTTACAAACTACAAGAGATTCTGCACAAAAGCTCATAAACATTGTCAATACTCTCTCTAATCTACAAAACACCAGTACCTCTACTGGTGGAGTGGCTGATGATATACTACTAATAGCACAAGAACTATTAGTACTACACAATGACTCAACTGCTTTACCTACCTCTTGTAAGCAAATACATGAACAACAACCTAACAGTCCATCAGGTTATTATATACTGGCAGGACCTACTGGAACATATTCTACATACTGTAATATGGGAACATTGTGTAATTTAGGAGGAGCATGGACAAGACTAGCATATCTGGATATGACTGATGCTACACAGAATTGTCCTTTTGGGTTTAGACTGTACCAGTCAGGAGGAGTTAGAGCTTGTGGTAGAAATAGCAGCAGTGGCGGTTGTGTATCAGTTCAGTTCCCATCTAATGGTATGAGTTATTCTCAGATATGTGGTAGAGTAACAGGATACCAATATCACTCACCAGATGCTTTCATTGGACCAAATGACCTCAATTCTCCTTATGTTGATGGTGTTAGTATCACTCGTGGGTCTCCTCGTCAACATATCTGGACACTAGCAAATGGTTTAATGGACTCTTATAACATTTATCCATGATACATGTGTCCATGTTCAACAGGGAGCTCCCAGACTGTCCCATCTTTTGTAAGAAACCATTATTTCTGTGAGTCTGGTAATAATGCTTCTACTTTTTCTCAAATACTCTACACGTCTGATCCACTCTGGGATGGTCAAGGCTGTGGTTCTCTTGAAGTTACTTGCTGTGCTGCATCTGGTATCCCATGGTTTCACAGAGACTATGGTAGCACTACCACTACTGACTATATTGAGTTGAGGGTCTGTGGAGATGGTCCTGCTATTCATGATGAAGACACTCCTGTTAGCTTTTATGAGATTTATGTTAAGTAGTTAAGCATGCTTGTGTGTAGTAGAGTGCCTAGTAGTCTAGTAGTAGAAGCTAGCTTAGCATGCTAATATGCTGTTACCTTTATATGTTGTACTTGTGCCATGTTTTGGCTATTTTCATTGTTGTAAGTATTGTTTTTGAATATTAGAACTAATGTTATGTGATATAATGAATGTATACATTGGCTATAAAGCAATAGAGTAGGTAACAACAGCAGTACAGCAACTCAGTAAACATTTGTGCATTACAACTTATATGTAACAGCATGATTCCAGAGCATCCTGATTAACGATTACTGCATATGGATAAAACCCCCTATTTCATTATTGTTTAATTGTATAATGTGTGTCAACCCTATTACATGTTAAGTGGCTACATTTTCAAATTACATGCAGCTGTTTCCACTTCTGGCTAGGGCGAGACAAATGCTAGCACAATTTGGAGGATATTAGGGCAAGTTATTATGCTGGCATATAATTGGAGCATAATGGGTCAAAAATTTCTGGCCCTATACCCCTGAACACATGACTTCAATTCAATATGGCAGGTGGTACAAGTATATACTAGTACAACAACCCAACTGCTTAGTACCCACCTATGTAAGTGTGGTGAGTCCAATGACTTAGACTATTCTATTTTTCAGTGACTTAAAGTCACTAGAAACATTTTCAGATTCTGGCATTTTTACAATAAATACAATTATAACAAATGTATGTACACGTATGTGTAACTTGACAGTTGATATATGAGCATATATAATGAGCATAATTGGATTTGTTTCAAAGCATAATTGGATGGAATTTGGGCTGCACCTAAAAGCATAATAGGCCAAAAACTGAAGCCATAATTTACATAGCCCTACTTCTGGCCCAAACTCAGTTGGGATATAGTATAGTTGATATCTTCTTTCTTTGAAATGTTAAGACCAGTTCTCTTGTGTATTGTCCTACTCCACTGCTTTGACATATCTTCAGGTAATCATTAGTACAATATCTTCATTATAATGACCTGTACTGTATATTATATTAGCTAATGGTGAGGAATCATTCTCTTGTCAGGCAGCTACTTTATCTTGTGAGGATATTAAGAATTATTGGCCAGAGAGTTCATCAGGATATTATAATATAGTAAGCAAAGGAGGAGCAAGAAGATATATCTATATCGTAATATGGAGGAGCTAAATAGATCTGCCTCTTTAGTCAATCCTTCCAGCATTCAACTAACAGAGACTGTATTAACCAGCAGTGAATCAACAGACAGCTCCTCCACTGTCCAACCAACTGAGATACTTTTTATCAGCAGTCTACCAATAGAAACTAGCTCAGTACATTATCCCTTTTCTTCTGGTGTTATGCCTCATCAGACTAATGTATTACAGAACCATGTGGTTCAGGAGGAGTATGGACAAGACTAGCATATCTGGATATGTCTGATGCTACACAGAACTGTCCTTCTGGGTTTAGACTGTACCAGTCAGGAGGAGTTAGAGCTTGTGGTCAACCAGTTTTAGGTAATGGCTGCAGTGCATCAGTTCAGTTCTCATCTAATGGTATCAGTTACTCTCAGATATGTGGCAGAGTAACAGGATATTTGTTTGGTTCTATAAATGCTCTTCATGCTGTCACCGATGCTGATGGTGTTATTATCTCTCGTGGACCTTCTTGACAACACATCTTGACACTAATAGCTGGTCATAGTGAGTCAACTGCCTCATCATATGATTGTCCATGTAATACTGGTAATACAGCATCCGTTCCATCTTTTACTGTACTAACTACTTCTGTGAATCAGGGAATCTTAACAGTGGTACATCACAGATTCTCTATACACATCTGATCCACTCTGGGATGGTCAAGG